TTGTTAAATATTTGAAATGAAATGATCTGATCTGAAATTTGAAACTAGACTTTCTGTATGAAGAGCACATCTTTCAAAAACATATTGTCGCGTATAAAACAAACTAAAACGAAGGTATTAAGGAGGAAGAGATTCTACGTAGCAATTTGATTGTTTCGATACCAAACGATTATTAATATTGCAATTAAATAGTTTTTCTGATATATTTTATGACTATAAATTAATCACATTTGTTCATGGCTCACGTTTGTATAGAGCATCATCTATGGCTATTGCAAATACTGTAAAACATGTTGAAAAAGCGGCATGCAATTTTAGCGAATTGTTGTAAAATGACGTAATAGCGAAATGTTGATTTAGCGAATATCTCTTGTCATTGTTGATTCCTTTGTTTGGCGGCCTTTTTGAATTGATAATAAAGTCATTAGCGACATCTTGAATTAACGAAGCAGTTCTCTCGCTAAATTCGCGAAAAAGACATGCTTTACAGTAGATATAATTAAACCTTGTGCATATAGATCGGTGTTACGCCAAATATATGCAAGGATGTATGACTTGGCGAATGTATGACTTGATACAAATCGAAAGGTATTCACAATATCATTAAAATATCGATATATCGAAACTAAAAATAAAATTAAATTTTAGAAGTCACTATTGACTAAATGATTGACTTGTTTTATGTTTCTGCGAATTTTACAGAGATGCATTGTTATGAAGCTATTAAAATTTCGACAAAATAATCCAAGTGTAGGTTTTGATTTATGCGATTATATTGATGTGCTATGTATATTTAAACATTCACGTCCATCGTTCACTAAAGCATTGTTGGGGCCGTTATTTAATTTTAAGAATAATAAATATAACAATAAAAACATTATGTATGTATATTGCGTTATTTGTAGATGTACTTCATGTCGGGGCCAGGATGAAAATAAAGATATTGTTACTTACTTTACCCAACGAATTTACATCTATTCCAGATTTTAATAATGATATCACTCCATCGGTATTACCATTTCTAACTGCGACATGTATGGGATCATCAGGCTTGTAAATAAAGAAAACAATACACTGTGATTGATACCATGATTAAAAACAACTATAGTTAGCAACGTGTCAGTGTGTGGCGCCCCTTTTAGTGGTCGAACTTTGTACGCTTATTTTGGATTTAGTCTACAGTTAATATTGTTGAAGGGGGGGGGGAATTACAATACTAGCTTCAATAGGGGCAAATTACCAGAGGATAACTTGATGAGACGTTTGAATAAAGATGTATTTATAAATCCAAAATGAGTGCTTATACTTTTATACTACATATAAACTGGTAGGCGAGTAACATTGATAATTAGTGCTCATATCCAAGTTTTTCAACGTATTTGAGTGTAACTGATAGAAAAGGGACTAATTACGAGGAGGTTTTGAACTAGTTCCGCATTTTCCATATTCTGCAGCTTTCACACATTGGTCTGACAATA